GCCGCTATGTTCTCAGGGACGAGTTAGGCGCGGAGGCGAGAGGAGGCTCCCCGTACATACATCCTGCCGCGTCTCATATCCTTTTCCTCATAGATGTATTTCCGTATATTCCTCACCTACCTCGCCTGTCCCAGGTCGATATCCAACACCCATAGTTGGATCCACCACGTAACCGCCCATAGGTTACGCCACCTACCATCACCCTTACAGTTTCTATGGCGATAATAGTGGTGCCGGTAGTTCTGGATACACCGGCACTGGATATGGCGACCCCGGTAATGCTTCTTTCGTCTACGCGGTGAGAAGACTGTACTGGTCATTGAATCAAAAGCCGAGAGGCCACGCTGATACTGTGTTTGACTTCACGATAGGACGTTGTTGCAAGAGGGTTGAGTGATTTGCCATGCGCCAAATAGCCGTGTCGTTATCACAAGGATCTTTCTGTGATTTGTCAAGTTTGTATGGGGCCCATAAAAGTTTCATACTGAATAAGAGCGTCTATACGTGTCGCTGGCGCATGGAAAACAGTTCAACTTCAACTTTGAAGAGCATGTGAGTAAAGCTGGACAAGACGACAACGGACATGAATATTATCGGACGCGTTTCTTGACTTTCTCCCAGTCGCGGCGTTGTTGCTGCATCACCACGCACCTCTTGCATCAATCTTGCATCCCTTATACCAAGCATTATCATCCCCTACTAACCCTCACAGATATACCATGTCCCAGTCATCATGGCCTCCAGAACTCAAGTACGTCTAGCCAAATCCCCAATACCGCACCATTGCTGATACTGTCGCTTTGCAGAGCTTGGGTCCAGACATGTCTCACACGAGCGACTGCAGCAAACAAGGAAGCTGTTAGCAATGAACTCAAACAGGTGAGCTCGGCATGTTCCTTCGGGCGGGATCAAGCTGATATAATTGAAGGTCTTGTTCACGGCACATGCGCAGGGCAGTATCAATACCACCGACTGGACAAAGATGGAGCTTCAGGCGTAAGCCACACCTCCCTCTATTGACGACAGGCAAATTGACAGGTCCATCTTAGACTGAAAGCGCAGACAAACCGGACGACGTATATGCCCCAGCCGGTTTTCCCTCCTACCACTACGATACCTCCGGTCGCCTCGACGAGCACGCTGAAAGAAGTGCCGTCGAAGAAGAAGAAGAAGAAGTGCGTCTACTTTTTGTAGACCCCTTCTCGATTGCGCTAACCGGAAGTCATAGGAATGACGGCCCCGGATTCCCTTCCCCTTACCATTTCGCCACCACCGAAGAAGAAGAAGCGAAAGCTCGGCGCGCCGCCCGATTCCAGCAACCAGCCGAGCCGGCTCCTCAACCGCAACTTGTTGGCGTGGCGGGGTTCTTTGACCGAGGGGACAATATGACGATGAAGAAGAAGAGACTGGCGTTGGGACAGATGGGTATTGATGAGGACATGTCGAATGATCCTGTAAGTCGAGCTTTGCTGTGGCCGGTATGCTGTACTGATATAATTATAGAACGTGGTGGATTGGGATCAGTATACTATACGAGGAACAAGTACCAAATTAGAAAAGTCGTATCTACGGCTGACATCAGTACGTCTCCCATCCGTGGTGCATTTGCGATGAATGCTGACATGGAATAGGAACCTTCACCTTCGACTATCCGACCACTCCCCATATTGCAGCAGACGCTCGACCTTTTGGTCTCGAAATGGAAACAAGAGCACAACTATGCGTATGCGGTGGATCAGTTCAAGAGTATGAGACAGGATTTGACGGTGAGCTTCGTTCCTTCCTCGCTCTCGTGGAGAAAAGTTGTGGCTGAGCATTGCGCAGGTTCAACGTATCAAGAATGATTTTACGGTAAAGGTTTACGAAATTCACGCCCGAATCGCCCTGGAAGCAGTACGTCTCTCTTTCTCAAATCGGGCAAAACAGAGCTGATGCGTGGGTTGTAGAAGGATCTCGGTGAATACAACCAATGTCAATCGCAACTCCGGCAACTGTACGAGCTCGGCTTGAACGGACACCCCAACGAATTCCTGTCTTACCGTATCATCTACATGCTGCACACGCGCAACCAAAGTGGTACGTCGCTTGTACCCTACAACGATCGTACGACCGTTTGACTGACGCTCAAGATAGATATGGCTTCCTTGATGGCTCAACTGACTGACGCTGAAAAGCTGGACCCGGTCATCAAACACGCGCTCGACGTTCACGCTTCGCTTGCTACTTCCAACTATTACCGTTTCTTCTGTCTTTTCCTTGAAGCGCCGAATATGAGCGGTTATATTATGGATCACTTTGTTGAGAGGGAGCGCATGTCTGCTTTATCAATCATGTCAAAAGCGTTAGTCTTCTTCTCTTCCTTTCCCCTTTCTTCAAGTTTGTCAAGGCTAAAGAAGGTGTCCAGTTATCTCACGCTCCCCCTCCAAATCATCTACCGCACCCTCGCATTCGACACCGAAGAAGAAACTCACCAATTCCTCAACTCTCACTCTGCCGCCGTCTACACCAACGCCCATCAGCATGACCAACACGGCTTCCGCACTGCTACCCGTGATCTTGTTTGGGACTGCAGGAAGGCGCATGCGGCGTGTCAGAAAGGGATTGAAAAATATAGGGTTGTGGAATTGAAGGGGCAGGTTGATTAGGCGGGGATGGATGGTTGGGCAAGGGGGAAGGGGTGCGGTGGGCATAAGGTAATGTGTCTCATCTTTTTCGGTTGGGCGTTTGACCTTGCTTTTCTTTTCTTTGGGTCTACAGACGACGTGGAGGTGGGAGGTGCGGACTTGGAGGAGACTTGGGATGCGGGGGGTAGGTGCTCGTAGGCTCTTGACGTATACATCGACCTTTATGATGTATGCCACGACAATCATGATTCAAGTTTCCTATGCCTTTTTGTGATCCTGGGCCTGTCGCTTCAGCCTGTCCATCCGACTCAAAATCAAGAGCCTTTCTGGTTGAGCGTGACGCAAAATGATATGGACGCGGCAATGACCGCCGGAAGCGGGAGGATATGTTTAGGGGGTGTTCGGTTGTCATGGATCGTGGAACTCAGGCGGGGTCGAGAATCCAGGCGACGAGTGTGGCACCTTCTCGGGGGCAACGACCTCTGAATATTTGGTCTGGATTGTCGTCCAGTGCCCGAACAGGTTTCAGCGAGTTTCCAGGGGTAAGGAGAAGTGTTACTACCGGTGTTGAGATTTACTGCACGACGAGGCGTCTTTCTTTCTTCTTCACTCTGCGCCTGCTCAACAACAGATGATATAGATCAGACAGGAGAAGACTCGTGCCATGCCTTCTCTCGTCCACCCCTACACAGCCTCACTGCAGTGCCAACTACTCTTCATCAAACTTACCCTCCCCATCCCAATCCCCAGCCGCAGCCCTCTCCATGTACAGCACCACCCCTCCTCTTTCGCGCGCCGCCTCGTACAGCATCCCTGCCACCCCCACTGGAGCTTCGCAAACCCCTTCCACCGGCACCACTGTCGACCTAACGCAGAGGCAGTCACAATATGATGCCAGCCAGGTCTCTGGACAGGTTGACCCGCCAAAGGTTGCGAAGTACTGCGTCTGGAGCGACGCAGACGACTCCACCATGGTTGGTGTCCTCACCGATGCCAAGATGTAAGGCGCATAGTTTCTTTCTCTTGTTGCTCGGAACAGCCTCTGGCATCGTGACTTTGTAGTGACGGCCAGACATCCGACAATGGCTTTAAGGCTAGTGTCTGGACAAAAGTCATCAACGCCGTCAACCCTCCCACCTCCGGCAAGCCCAAGACCGTGCGCTCTGCCAAAGATCGGCACGGGCATCTGTCTAGAGACTGGGCCGTTATGCGTCACCTGAGGTTCCAGAACACGTCAGGATGGGGATGGAACGATGAGAATTGTATGGTGACCGCGCCGGATGAGGTTTGGGCTCGCTATCTCGCGGTGGGTCGGCTTCGCTGATCAAAGCAATGTTCTCTGCCTTCGATCCCGTGTGTCATATCATCCACGACTTCCTCTGCCCGCGCTGCTGCAAGAAGCCCATCCACACCCTACCATGGACGGGGAGGATGATGATGGATGCGTTCCTGGCGCGCCATGGTAGGATGTGGATGGGCTTCTTGCAGTAGCGCGGGCAGAGGAAGTCGTGGATGATATGACACACGGGATCGAAGGCAGAGAACATTGCCTTGATCAGCGAGCGGCGTCGGCACTTGGTGTGCTTGGATGTGGTCTTGGAAGAAGGAGTAGAGGTTGAGGAAGAAGAGGAGGGGAGAGAAGAGAGTCAAACAGTTGTTGTTGAGGTCTCTTCTGTCCCAATACCCAGCCTTTCTTATATACATGAATGAGTGACGTGACGATAGACGGAGCGACTATGTGATACGTCTACAGCACGAAGCGAATAAGGGTACAAGTCGACCAGCGAAGCGTACGAAAGGTTAAAGACAATAAGAAAGAGGAGACGGGCGGGAGAAGGTAAGGGTAGTGAACGCGGCGATGTACGTCGGACAGCCTTACTAGACGAAAGGAAGAGAACGAAAACGAGTAACGGAAACGAAGACGAAGCGAAGGCGGAGGCGAGCAAGGGTAACCATGGGGCGTGCAGGCGCCTAGCACGCTACATCACTCTATGGAGAATTTGTATCCAGTTTCATCCCTCGAACGTGGTGGCTTGCGACATCATCTTGTCGCCTATTCATATTACGGCCCTAGACTCGACGAAGTCGGCACTATCATCCAACATCATTGCCTTTCCAGACTCTGACCACAATCCCAATTGACAATACATGCCCAGCACGCTGATAAAGATGACCAAGATATATATAAAAAGAGCTACAAGATCTTCACATTCCCCTCGGGGCTGACAGGGTCGGCCAGACAAGACCCATCGTCCACATCTCATGACATAAATTCCTTCACCCGGGACTCTGACTTCTCTTATACATCACCCGCAAGCCCGACATGCTCGCTTGGCAAGTGCTACTGAGGCGTCCCCCTCAAGCTCGCCGTCGAGCTCGACAAACTCTTATCCCCCTCACTCCCGACTTTCACCTCAGCCGGAGCCTTGTACTCGGGCTCAAGGTTGAGCGTACGAGAAAAGGGCATGGGCGAAGGGTCGAGCTGACGTTGATACGCTGTTGGCGGGGTAGTGCTCTTGTCGGGAGGGGGTACGGCGAAAGGCTGGTCGGCGGCGGCTGATCGTCCGACATTAGCGGCGGCGGTAGAGTTGGATCTGCCGAGGTTGGGGATGGGAGGGTTGGAGTTGTTTCGGAAACCTCGTCTAGGCGGGGGGAGTGATCTCGGCATCTACTTTCTCTATCAGTCCTACATCACTCGGAAAGAAGAGAAAGAGGGACGTACGGTAACATCCTCGCTACTTTCCATGAACGGATTCTCCACCTCCCCCAGCCCACCCTGACTCCCAAGACTACCGAACCCCTCAAACGCGCCTTTGGTAGGGCTCGGTGAACGACTTTGCGCGGCAGCTGCAACCGCAGCTTCCTTCTCGCGTTCTTTCGCGATGGCAGCAGCAGCAGAAGAGAGATAATGTTCGTACACATCGATCCCGCCTCTTGGTGCTCCGGAGCCATGACTCTCTGCTGACGTCGGCGAGTGCGCAGATGAAGACGGTGGGTATGAAGTATTGAGCACATGCGTGTCGATCCTCTTGATTCCGCTGCCCATTGAAGAGGCGCCGAAAGGTTTAGGAGGTTTGTGGTCGACCATATCATCTGGCGTTCTAAGTCTGCCGCCGATGAGGATGGAAGATGGCGGTTGGAGGGATGGGACGCGGGACGATGTGGAGGGTGGGTTGGGGGAGGGGGTGAAGTGGGAGGAGGGGAGGGTGGTGCTGGTGTTGGTGTGGGATGTGGAGTTTGATGGTGGGGCTGGGGCGGGACGAGGTCGGCGGGGATGATGACGATGTTTCTTCTGAACCTCTCGTCAGTTTACATTACTTCCTTCGAGGCTGACAGACTTACAACAACGACAACAGTATCATCCATCCCCCTCTCCCTCTCCCCCATCTCAACCATCTCCGCCCCGAACCCCGGCGCCCCACTCGGCATAACACTATCAGGCAGCCTCAAATGATCTGCCAGTATACTCCACGCATAGACACTGCCTTGTTCTTTCACCGCTGCCGACACCTTTGCGCGGACTTCGGCGGAGGTTGCTGGGGTGGAAGCGTCCCCGGGGCGGCGGGGGGAGGAGGAGGAGGAGGAGGCGAGGAGGATGGAAGGGTCGGAGAGATGTTTGTGCAATCTCCCGTTTCTCGCCATATGTGCCCGGGCATCCGTCCTCGACGTGCTCACGCTCTGATCCGTACCAGGCCGGCCCCCATTCGTCGTCGTCGTAGACCCAGAAGTATCAGGTCTAGACGAAGGAGAAGGCGCGAAAGTCGCATGGTTGGACGTCGTCGAGTCGGTCTTGGGCCGGTATGCGGGAGCTGTGGGAGGGAAGAGGGAAGGGTCGTTAGGGGATGAAGGTGGTGTGGCAAAGGGTGCTACCCGGTGAATGTCGAGCATGCCCATACCGACGCCTTTCGACTCGTCCTAGCTCATCCACGTCGTCCATCCACGTCGTCCAAGTCTAAACGGTCTTTCTCATCCTCCACTTTCGACCGCCTCTCAAACCTCCCCCCAGCAGCAGTAAAAGAGAGCACCTGATGTTTTTCAACATCCTCATCATCCCCCGCATAAGAAGGCGAGGCGAGGTACGAAGTACGCGTCCCATCCGTCAATGTCGAGGACCCTCCGCTAGTATGGGGGCGGGGGGCCGTAGGCGATGTGGGGGAGAGAGTGACGCTGATGGGGTCGGTGGCAGATGATGGTTGGAGGGCGGGGAGGAGGGGCCGGTTGGTGGAGGAGTTTTCGGGGGGGAAGAAGAGGTAGACGGATATTACTACGGATACCATGAAGCCTGCTAGACCGATCATGACGAAGAAGTCTATACCTTCTGTCAGCGTTCACTCTTTCGAAAAAGAGGGGGGAGGAGAGGGAGGGGAGAAGAGGGAGAGGGAGAAGGAGAACGTACCGGTGAGGAATTGGTTGGAGGCGATATCGTGGTGAGGGGTCATACCGTCCACGGCGACAGTGATGAATGGGACCGAAAACACCAGCCTGGCCGCGATCTGACTCTTTCATCAGCTCTTTCTCCTACTTGTAGTATGCAGGCTCCCATTGCCTCGACTGAAGATGCCGAACGTCGAAATGTCAAAGGGATGGGGGAGGAAGAAGAAGAAGAGAAAGAACATACACGGTAAAAAGTCAACTTTCGGTGGTAAGCGAGACGTTTGAGAACCATCTGCGAACCGCCTTGTTGTCGGACCGTCTCGATAAGTTTCGGGAAGGTGAGGATGATGTAGAGGGAGCCGATGGTAAAGACTGTGTGGTATGTCGTACCGACTAGGAAAGCTCTCTACGCCAAAGTCAGCTCACGCCTTGTAAAAAACAGAAGAAGGAAGAAGAAAAAGGGGACATACAGCTTCCATCTGGTTCGGATCATAATTAACCGGCACAACGACAGCTACCATACTCCCCACCACTCCCAAAGTCAGAACGACCCAGACTTTGAAGTGGAAAGAGGCGAGCCAGGTTTTGGTGGTGGTGCCGCGGATGGAAGAGGAGAGGTGGGTCCAGAAACACATTTCTTCGACGTATATTACACTGAGGGGTACGTTAGTTTTGTAGCATGGAAGAGGAAGGGCAAGGGACGTACACGATCATGGAAAACCCGCCGACGAGGATGTAGTACAAAGCGGGCGTGACATCTTGGTAGTGTTGCGGCCAGAGGACGAAGGGTGTTGGGACAGTTTCGCCTGTCGTCGGTATCGTCCTTGCTCTTTCGTCAGCGACTGTTGGGTGCATAGGGTGAGGGAGAGTCGTACTGGTACCCGACGTTGTACTTGATGTACCCTAGAAAGACGGACCATGTGAGGAAGCAGCCGTTTGCTAGGAGGTATGCCCACTGAAGGGGCGTCAGCGGTGTTTTGGAGCAGATGCGATTGCATCGATCGGGAGAGAGTTTGAGGAGAATGGACGACAAGGAGAGCAACGCTCCGAAGAACACCTCTCCCTTCGGATAGGAGACGGCATAGTGATGGGACGGAAAAGACTGACTGTGATGCCGCATTTGAACGCCCGTCGCCGTGTCGGGCGCATAGACTTCCACTTGTCAAACCTACTCTTCTGTCAGTACTGCTCTTCTGGGCAAAGAAGAAGAGGAGGACTGACGACCAGGAGTGCCAGAGAAAGTAGCACATGACACAGGTGGTGCACATGGACGCGAACAACAGGCTGCGGTGGTCAGCCTGGCTCAGCTGTGAGGCGGGGGACGTACGAGGCTGGGCTCATGTGGGTCATGGTGGGCGAGTATGGGCAGGAGTAATCCTGGATGTGCGTTGTTTTGTAGATATCATAACCCTAACTCGGCACTCGGGCTCCCTTTCCAGCATATGGTCTCCATGTGCACGGCGATGTGCCTTCCTTTGGAGGTACAGAATGAGACATATACGACACTAGTGTTCGCAACTAAGCAACGCACAGACACAAACACACCCACCGTACAGCCCGGAATCCCGGATCAAGCGAGAACGAGGTCGTGCGCGGCGATGGCCCTGGTGTTTGGTTCGGCTGGTGAGGCACCGGGCGAGATGCCGTTTGAGGGGGGCGTTGATGCGTTGGCTGGGAGAATCTTATCTTGGGCATGGCCAAATACGATCCTGTCTGCTTCTCAAAACTACTTACCTACCCCTTGCAGCAGAAATATGTGCAGCACCATGTAGTATAACATTGTACAAACCATATTCTACCGAAACCGTCTATTACAACGGTCTTCTACTCTTCATTAGTATAACGGTTAGTATAACCGCTTCTCACGCGGTAGACCAGGGTTCAACTCCCTGATGGAGAATATCTTTTTGCCCCGTTTTTGCCTCACTTTTTGCCCACGCATCATCCCCTCTTTTCTTGATCAGAACTCTGCAGAGAGCAAAGGGGGCCAGTCAAGCTTAGGAAAAGGAAAAAGAGAGGGGATAGAAAGTTATGCACAGAGGGTCCGATTCCAGCAGCTCCCCGGGCTATCTTTGCTTCATTGTACAATCTATACATCTCGTGAAATAGCGACGAGCAGCTACGTAGTAGGTACCGGTACAAGCAAGTGTCACAAGCGAAGAAAAGCATATCGACCCGGGGTGCATCATTGGTAGTCTACAAGAGTCAATGTCAGCAAGAGCCACCAAGGAGGAATTGATCCCGCTGGGGTTCGAGCATTTGGTCCCGTTGAGGGGAGCTGTCTTTGTGCTCGCTGTATAGACGGCTCGCACTATCTCCCGCCCCGATGTCCTCTGCGCCCGTGCTCACTGCGCTCCACACCCTCTACCACGATCCGGACACCGCCAGCAAGAAGCGCGCCAACGACTGGCTCCAGGAGTTCCAGCACAGCGTACGTAACACCCGCCCCTCTCCGCCCTGCTCACCCTGCCCCCTGCCCAGTCCGACGCCTGGCAGACCTGTCATGAGCTCTTGACTGCCCCAGCGTCCCCTCTCGAGGGCCGTCTCTTCTCTGCCCAGACGCTCAGAGCAAAGGTACGTCTTCCCTTGTTCTCCCAAGTCCGTGGGCCGTGCTCACTTTTCCGCCAAAAGATCACCTACGACCTCGCCCAACTGCCCCGCGAACAGCTCCCCCCGCTCCGCGACTCTCTCATCTCCATCCTCTCCCCCCTCTCCCAACCCGGCGCCCCCTCCGGCTCGAAAGCAGTGCTCCTCCAGCTATGTCTCGCGCTGTCGGATATGGCGCTGCAGATGCCAGAGTGGGATAATGTGGTGGGGAGCATGATTGATCGGTTTGGGAGTGATCCGGCGACGGTGACGGTGTTGTTGATGTTTTTGAAGACGCTGCCGGAGGAGACTACGAATCCGAGGATACCGTTGGGGCATGATGAAGCGAGGACGATTTTGAGCAGGCTGGTTAGTGGCTCGGCGGGGAAGGTGTTGGAGGTGCTGGCCATGTATATCGATGCGGAAGGTGAGTCATTCCCAAGGTTTTTTGGGGAAGCCGACTGATGTCTTTTAGGCGTTACTATTCCTATCCAAACGGCAGTGTTTGAAGCACTTGGATCCTGGCTTCAAGCCGGCGAAGTCACCGCCGGCCAAGTCGCTTCCACCTCCCTCTTCTCCGCCGCCTTCAAATCCCTCGCCTCCGACCAACTCTTCGACCCCGCCGTGGACCTCATCTGCGACTTTATCCACGAAACGCAAGAAGTGCAGGAAAATATGGCGGAAGTGTACCAAGTCTTGCCTCGGGTTATCGCCCTGCGGCCAAAGATTGAAAAGTACAAGGAAGATCCGGATAGGGTGCGGGGGTATTGTCGGATTTTGTGTGAGGCCGGAGAGTGTTACACAAACTTGATTGTGCAGCACCCGGCGGATCTGTTGCCGCTGGTGCAGGGTATTGCAGAGTGCGCGGCGTACCCGGATTTGGAGATTGTTCCAATCACATTCTTCTTCTGGTACAACCTCGCCGAAGCGCTGGAGCGACAGGGGCAAGAGTTCCGACAGAATCCGGCGTTGGCGCCGATCCTCGACATCTTTGCTTCGCTCCAGACAATCATCATCGGTCACCTCCATTTCCCCGCCGACGATGAAGAGCAGACGGCGCAGGAGAAGGACGAGTTTAGGACGTTCCGTCATAGGATGGGCGATACCCTCAAAGACTGCTGTTCCGTCCTCGGCGCTCCTACATGTCTCAAAAAGTCATACGACCTCATCGTCTCCGCCATGTCCCAGCCTTCCCCTTCTTGGCAAGAGATCGAAGCGCCTCTCTTCTCCATGCGGTCCATGGGCGCGAGCGTGGATCCGAACGACGACGAAGTCCTCCCGCACATCATGGCCCTCTTACCGAAACTGCCCGAACATCCCAAAATCCGATACGCCGCCATCCTCGTCATCTCCCGCTACTCCCAATGGCTCAACCGGCACCCGGACAACCTGTCCTTCCAGCTCGGCTACGTCTCTGCCGGGTTTGAGCTCGCAGACGAACAAGTCTCGGCCGCCGCGGCGCACGCGATGAAATTTATATGCCAGGACTGTACGGGCCATCTTGTGCCTTTTTTGGGGCAGTTGCATGGGTTTGTGACGAGTGTGGGGGATAGGCTGGATCAGTCGGATATGTTGGATGTGTGTGAGGCTATAGGGTATGTGATTGAGGGGATGCCGGCGGATGATGGGGCGCAGGCTTTACAGCAGTTCTGTGAGCCTCTTATCCAGTTTATCCAGCCTTTCGCCTCTTCGGATACGCCGGCGTCGGAGCAAGAGCTGGAGAAGGTGGCGGACGCGTTGGAGCAGATGGACGCTTACCTGTCGGTGGTCAAGACGCTGCACCCTGTGCCGGAGAGCTGTTACCCGACGTGTGCCGCGGTGTATGGGATTCTGGACGGGCTGTTGGCGCGGTACAGCAAGGTGTACCACATCTCTGAGAAGGTCGGCTCGCTCCTCCGGCGGGGGCTTACATTCTTCCCGCTCCCCGCGCTCGAACCCGTCGTGCCGTTGCTACTGGAACGGCTGGCGACATGTTTCGCCGAGACGGGGTACGCTTCGTATCTCTGGATCACGGGCAAGGTGGCAGACAAGTTTGGGGAGGCTGCGAGTGGGCCTGGAGGCGGACAGTTGGCGGGGTTGTTGATGAGGAGTTTTGAGAGTGTGACGAGGGGGTTGGGCGAGTTGTTGCAGAGGAAGGTGGCTGTTGAGATTCCTGACGGTACGTTTCCCCTTTCTTTCCACCTTTCATGGAGAGTGCTGATGGTTTGCATGCAGTGATGGACGACTATGTCCACCTTCTTTACGCCTACTTGTCCCGTCTCCCAACACTCATCATCCCCAACCCCGCGCTGCCTCTCGCCTTCTCCCACACCCTCCAAGCACTCACCTGCCCCTCCACAATAATCACCCTCGTCTCCCTCGACGTCCTCTCCCTCCTCACCAACCTCCTCTCCCCCTCCTCCTCTCCCGACCCCACCGTCACAGCCCCGGTGCTGGAACCGCTTTTCGCGCAGTATGGGCGCGTGCTGACGGGGCTGGTGGTGAAGGGCTTGGTGGGCGAGTTCCCGGAGGATGCGGTGGAGCAGGTGGAAGATGTGCTTGTGGGGCTTGGGGTGGGACTGCCCGGGGCGGGCGCGGGGGGGGTGGTGGTTGGTTGGATAGGGGAGGGGGTGGGGGAGGTTGGGGGGCATCTTGTGCCGGCGGTGGATAAGCAGGCGTTTGTGGCTCAGATATCGGCGTAAGTTTCTGCTTTTTTTCCATTTTGATGCAACGTTTGAGGCTGATGAGGTTACTGCAGAGCGATTGAAGAGCGTTCACCGCAAAAGATAAAGTACGCTGTTCAAGCGCTTGTGCGGGCGGCGAGGAGGACAAGGGAGAGAGGAAGACAGAGTCGGAAGAGTCTTGGTGCCAAGGTTTAGATGGGGGTCTTGTTTGTGCTTGGGTGAGAGCGTGGGTGAGGGGATGTGGTAGAAGAGGGAGAGGGGTGTCGTGAGAAGCAAGGGTTTGTTTGCATGGATTTGTGGCATGGATGGAGAGCATGGTAGCTTTTCGATTACAGTTTTCCAGCATCAAAATCAGGGAGCGCGATGATCGAGCGGGGTGGAAGGTGGAAGGGTGGAGAGGTTGAAGGTGGAAGGTGATCTTAATCCCGTATAAACTGTATAGTTTTGATGCGGAGAAGTTGAGGCTTGTTATATGCATGTCATGACTATACCACTTATGCGATTGAAATGTGATATAGTCATACTTTCCCGCCGTGTCGTCGGATCGAGCCGCCAGTGAAGTGAAGCGAAGCTTTTGGCGCGTGGTGCTTTCTGTCATCTATGATATTATGCATATGATGTCAGACATACGGATCTAGAGCATAACAACACCGACCTGCGAGCTCTCCTTCCTGGAATAGCCGCTCTGTCCACCATCGGTAGGTGCGCAGTTCCAATTATAAAGGTAGACTGCAATGTCATATCAGCTCGGATGACGTTTTGGGTGAAATGGAGAAGACTTACAGTTCAGGAAACCGTCGCCGGGACCGAACTGTAACTGATGTCAGTAAGGAGAGATATGGGGAGCGAAGCAGGTCTTACCTTTTGTTCTGTCAGGAATAAGTTGTTGTCGAGGAGCGTAAGAGCGTTGAGGACGTCGAAACCGGCCTATTTGGATATCAGTACACGTCACGGGTATGTGCGAAAGTACTCACCTGCTTTGCCATGATCATTATATCGTTAACCAACGCGTTCAACCTCTCCTCCAAATTCCTCTTGGCCTTCCTATCATGCGCCGCAGCATCATCCGAGCTTCCACCAGCGGAGAAAACAGCATCGGAGGCGTAGTAGAACATGTAGGCGGCATTGAGGAGATTATGTTTGGGGTTCTTCATGATGGACGAGGGGAGAGAGTAGAAGGAGACAAAGTCGGTGATGAGATGTGTGGTGGGGTCCTGAAAGAGATGTCAGCTTGACCGAAAATCACATATATGTGGTACTCACCTCAACGACATACGCCCAGACCACCTGTCCTTCCCGCTTGCCATCAATGTCCGTCCCCTGTCCACTACAGAACCAATGCTCAACCTCCTCATCACTGCTAAACACCTGGGCAATTGCAAATCGATCCAAGTACTTTCTCAGCAGCTCGCCTACTTGCGGCACGTCGGCTTTGGTCATCTCTCTGAAACCGGGGAGACGGGGGTGGGCGGGGACGCTGTATTGTTGGACGAGTCGGGCGATGGTGGTACCGCGGGGAAGAGGGGAGAAGCCGATGTCGACGAGCTTGGGAGGGTTGAGGTTTCGGTGGAAGTATCTGAAAGCAACGTCAGTCGGTGTTGAAATTGGATATGACGAGACTTACCGAGAAGTGCCGATGGGGGTGGGGAGAACGACGCCTGCGGTGTAGATGGCTTGCCAGATATCCGTCAGGTTGACTCGTCTGGTGACCTCCTTGATCAATACAGGCGCCAATCGTTTTGAGCGGAGCTTCTTGTGAACACAGAGGAAGTTGATCTCGGCCGACGGGAACGTCCTGATAGAAGAGTTAGGCTTGCCATCAACGATAACACCATTGACTTACTTGCTTCGCACCCTGATATCTACCTTGATACCAGAAATGAACGCAACCAGCTTGCCAGTCTTTTGCACTCGAACACCGATATGCCAGTCGGGAACGTACCCCGGAGCGGTGAGCGCCCTATGTCATTGGTCAGCAGCTGCGGAAAGTAAGAAGGCGCATGGTATTCACCAAAGCAAGAACTCTTTGGAATAGTTGAATCTGAACATGGCATCGTCGTCCTCCACATAGTTCTCGGAGAGCAACACATAAACTTCTTTACACTGCAAGCACATGAGCACGGACGAAATCTATCATGAGTGGACACATACCTGCTCCTCGTCTTTGACATCAACAGTACTCCACACAAATCCAGAAGGAAGGCTTCCAGGCTCTTGCTTGACTTCGGCAGGCGTCTTGGGGTCGTCGATAGGACCTTCCTCGAGGGGAGCGATACTGCCACCGTCACCGGACAATTGAGGGACGGGCTGAGTCTTCCAGAACTGCGCTCTTGGTAAGCATTACTGTTTTCAGTATAAACACTGACACACCTTATGTTCCCCGAGGTTTTTGGTACCAGACTTGTTTCCCAATGCCATTTTGCCCTCCAAGATCTTCATCAAGTCCGCGGCTTTCAGCGCACGTCGAATCTCCTCTGCGACTCTTGTCAGTTGGAACCAAGCGAGTCTTGCGATCCTTCACGTACCATCTGTAGCTGCTTGACCTTCTCCAGCATCCATATTTCCTCGCACAGCTTCGACTATTTCCTGCGGCGCATTTCCGGTAGCGATTGTTCTGTGACATGGATCAGTAACGACTTTCATCCAATCAGCCGAGTGACTCACCTCAAACCTTGCACAGCCTCCTTAGCCTTGGACTTCTTCTTCTTGGACTTCTTCTTCTTCTTTTTCTCTCCGTCCCCAGCCTCCCCTGTGGCACACTCGTCCTCGTTGTCGCCGGCGCCTTCTTCGCCGTCTTCGTTGTCGCTAGCGTCTTCTTCGGCTTCTCGTCCGAGTTGCTGAAACTTGTCAAGGACTTGGTCCACGCCAGGCTGTGGTTCTGTGGGGAGGGATTCGTTGGGCGGGGCGGGCATTTCTGGACGTTGTAGGTGAGCGGACAGTCGCAGAACAAAAGGAAAGTGAGTGCATCCCCGTTCCGCGTCATAAACACGCTCCAAGTTCAAAATGGGGTCGCGTTTAATTTGCCCATTCAACTCTTGCCTTGCCGTTCATCCTGGACTGAACATCGTACACGAGGCATAAGGTGGCATTTAAGGTTCGATCCGGGACGTAGTATTCATATCAGGTTCATATTATCCTTCTCACACACAAGTACATTATGCAAAAGCAAGCCGACTGTCCACTAATTCGTACCAGCGCCCCCCGTACCTCCTCCGGCAGCACCGCCGCCTCGTCCGCCTCGCCCGCCGGCACCTCCTCTTGGCGCTGCTCCTCCTCTAGGCCTCTTTAGCACTCGACCACCTCTTTCTGACGGGGCTGATGGAGGAGCAGCCGAGCCTGTTGGTGATTCGCCTTCTTCCGGCGCTGGTCGTTTTGTGCCGCTGGATTCGGGAGTGAAAGCCGGGGTAGCTCCTGATAGAGTCGCGTTGACAGCTGCAAAAAAAAGTCAGTAATCATACATTATGCAGAAGCAAAGACTTACCGCTCAAGACAGAATTTGGCCTTCCGGGAGCTCCACCTCGTACTGCCCGCGGCTTGCCCCTAGCAATGCCCCCTCTCGTCGCTGGCGTCCCAGTGGGCGTACCCTCCGCCTTCACTGGATTCGCATCAACCACAGCTGTAGCCGCGGGCGCTGGGGTCGTAGCAGGTGCACTTGCAGCAGCCGGCGCTTCACCCTTCTTCTCCAAAGCCTCTGCGAGTTTCTTTTCCGCCTCGGCTTTCTGTCTCTCCAATGTCTTTCTCGAGATCTCCGCTGTCTTGACTTGCCTCTCGAGCGCCTTGATCTTGGTCTTCAACTCTTCCACTTGTCCTCGTAACGACTTGACTTCCTCCTCCAAAGTAGACTTTTCCTTCTGCACAGCTTCGGCTACTCTGGTATCGAACGCAGACTCGAGTTCGGCCGTCTTCTTGGCGAGAGCTTCGGCATCGAGGGCGGTAGCAGTGGAAGATTCGGGGGCGGGAGGGGGTTGAACGATAGCAGCGGCGGAAGCGGCAGCAGTAGCGGCCGAGGTGGTGGCCTCTTCGATGTCACGAGTAAACTTGGCGGTAAGCTCGGCTTCGCGGGCGGCGACAGCAGCCTTGACAGCTTCGTCAATCTGTTCTTGCGAGGGCTTGCTTTCGACCTCGCTTGCTGATTGGGCGGGAGCTTCGGGAGCAGGTGCGGCAGCCGTAGAAACTGACGCCTCCACCTCCTTGACCTTGCTTTCCAGTTCCGAGATCTTTGTGGTAAGAGTCTCAACGTCGGTGAGAGCTGCAGCCTTCTCGGAAAGAAGGGTGTCGATGCGGCCCTTCATCTGGGCATTGACCCGGTTCACTCGAGTAACGTTGCTTTCGTATTTCTGAGGTCATATCAGTGTCACGCAAACAAAACAATCTCGGGAGCTCACCTCGTCGTGATCCTGCTTGTGCTTTGTCAACTCTTCGACCTTTGCGAGTAGCTCGGCTTTCTCGGCGTCGGTGGGAGCACCTTCGCTGGTAGGAGGAGCGGTAGAAGCAGCAGCCTTTGCCGCCTCCAGATCCTTCTCAGCCTGCGAAAGTTTCTCGGCAAGCTCCTTCTTCTCTTTTTGAAGAGTAGTCTAAGATAGCCCGTCAGCGAGGGACCAGGTCAGGAGTGTATTGACTCACCAACTGTGCCTTGACTTCACTTTCTCCTTGATCAGCCTTTCCTTGATCAGCCTTGGACGTCAACTCCGACTGCAGTCTTTGAATCGTGCCCTCCTTCAACGACGCCGCTCTCTCCACCTCTTCCACCTTCTTCTTGAATCCATCTACCTCCCCTTCAAGCTCCTTCACCCGCTTCTCCGCCTCTTGCGCCTTCTTCTCATTCTCCTGCGCCGCCTCTCCCTGACTCTTCGTGTTCTGAGCGATCTGCTCCGTGAGGTTGTCTGCTCGGCGCTTCCAGTTGAGACCGATTCTCAGGCGGCTTTCCGATTCGGTCTGGGCCTTTTCGAGATCGGCCTTGATGGTGGCGATTTCGGTGGCTCGGGTAGCGGCGAGGGAGTCGGCAGCTTCTTTCTCGGTTCGGACGGAGGTGGTGGCTGCGGCGAGACGGAATTCAAAGTCGCTGACCTTGAGTTCGGCGTCTCGCGTGGCGGCGCGAGCTTGTTCGATCTGCTGGCGAAGGGCAGTACTAGCAAATAATTAGTTCACACTCGTACGGGTAATGTTGTACACTCACGCTTCGCGTTGAAGTTCTTCGATTCGCTTCTCCAAAGCCTGCCTCTCCTCGGCTCGGCTCTTGTCGCCCTCGCTGGCAACGTTCTTGAGGTTGTCAATAAGTTGCTGAAGCTTGACGCGCTCGGATTGGACTTGAGAGAAGTCGGAATGGAGCCTGCTTTCGACGCTCTGTAAATATATTAGCGTTGCTGGGTGAAGAAGAGGCCGAAGGGGACGTACCTTCCACTGTTCCTTCTCGGCGCGAAGCATAGCCGCCTCGTTTCTCAACCTGTCGGCTTCCGCTTGACGGACAGCGACTTGCTCGAGAGCCTTTCCGATCGTCAGTAGTACTCTTCATGGAAAGGGTATAACGTACAGAGCGTTGTTCGTTGTGCGCCTGAGTCACGGCGCCTTGCAATTGCCGAACCTGGCTTTCCAGACCGATGTATTGGTTCTTTGCCAAGGAATTCTGCTCGTTCAAAAGTCGTGTTTGTTCTACACGACAGTCAGCCGGCGCTCAGTAGACAGTCCAGCGAACACACCCTCTAACAACCCAACCTTGGCTTCCGCTCTCGCCTTCTCCACATCCGCCTTGGCCGCCTCTTCAGTCCTCTTCTTGATCTCCTTTCGCACATCATCCACCTCCCCTTGCGCCTTCGCCTTGAGAAGATCAATCTCTGTCTGCAAACTGTCGATAGTCTGTTGATGAGGACTATCATCGCCAAGAGGACCGCCGGACGTGACTTGGGAGGTAGACCACCTGAGACCCTCGCCCTTGGCAAGGAGCTTGGAGAAAAAGTCGCGCTCGCGGGTCAGGTCGGTGATCTTCTTTTGAGCATCGGTGAGGTCTTTGTGGAGACGCTTGATCATGTCTGTAGCTTGGTCCAAGGTAGATCCAGCCTCGTCCTCCTCCTCGTCGCCAGCAGCTCGCCCGATTTCCTTCTCGTCCAGCTTCGCCATGAGACTGCGAGTAATGGAAAGAAGACGTTGGTTTTGCTCTTGAAGGGAACGGATGGACTTGAATTCGACGAGGTGGTCGGTGACAATGTCCCCGGTAGGCCCGACCTCGGCGTCGCCGTCGACTGGAACATTGGCGAGGGAGGGGTCGTCCTTGATAGCAAGTTGTCGAAGAAGGGACTTGACTTGGCGAGCAAGGTCGTCGATTGTGGATCGGAAGGAGGATACTTCGGAGGAGTGGTGCGAGGAGGCTGCTTTGGCAGATTTGATCTCGGCCTGAAGAGTGTCGCGGGAGGAGATGACGGAGGAAAGTTCGGAAGCAAGCGCATTGGCGCGCTCGATAGCACGGTCGTGTTCCGCAGCTTGTTCGTCAAGGAGTGGTTTCTACAACGCGTCAGGGGGGATTCGTGGGGACATTAAAATAACGCACCTTCTCGCTCAGCTCCTGGCTAATCTCATCCAGCAGATTCGTCAATCTTTCAACCTCGGCCTCGGCAGACTGCAACCGACTCTCTTGGATGGTAAAGTCGGTATACAGTTGCGTATAGCTCTTCCCATCCTTCCTCAACTCGCTAGCGACGGCAGCAGATGCCGAGACGTAGCCCGCCCGACCCTCGGCCATATCCAGCCTGTCCGCCACATTCTTCAGCTCCTGCGCCCTCTTGTCGGCCTCTTTTCTGAGCCTCTCTTCCTTCTTAACGCGCGCTTCCCAATAGGTCTCTCGCTCCTCGGAAACTTCGGCCATCCTCTCCAGCTCTGCCTCCCTCTCCAAGATCGTAGCCCGAGCTTCCTCGCCTCGCTTTTCGAGAATCTTGTTCGACTCGTCCAGCTGGAGCATGTCAACAGCGACGGCAGCTTTGTTTGCTGCGGCTGATGAGGTCAAGGTGGCGATATTGGCATGAGACTCGGCAAGGCGGGAGGATTGGTCGTTGTAGGTCCGTTGGAGGGAAGAGTAGGATTGTTCGAGAGTGTTGAGTCGAGTGAGGAGGGTTTCGTTCTCTGAGCGGTATTTGCTTTGCTCGGATTGCTACGCGAGTGTTAGAAAGGCGGTGTTATACACGCGTTTACTTACGGCTTCAGCCCTGTATCGACCAAATCGCTCTTCAACCTCCGAGACAGCCTTCGTCAGGGTGATGATCTCGGCTCGGGCACTTTCCAGAGCTTGTGTGCTTCGCTTCTCATTGAACTGGGACAATGTTTAGCTCGAATCCAGTATAGCCCGCGATGCACTCACCTTGGCGGTCTCTGTGGTCATCCGTAATTCCGACACCTCAACATCCAAGTGGGCAATCTTTTGCGCAGCATCCGTCTTTGCCGATCTCAGAGCGTACAGTTCCTCTGCATCCACAATGGTCAGCCACGTGTTCGAACAGGGGGCGGGACAAATTCACGAGTATTCCGATTACCCCTCTGCTGTAGTCTCTCCGTCTCCTCGTACAACTCCCTCTTCTCTCGCTCTATAGAGTCAATCCTAGTTTGTATTACTGATAGCTCCGATGTTGTCTTGTGATGGCTCGATTGCAAGGATGAAAGCTGGGTCTGCAGTTGGTTTGTGACAGAAACTGGAAAGCGGTCAATAAGAACCGGATTGATTTCACGCATCCCAACTCACCCGCTCCATCCCTCTCCCCCTCTAACGAAGATATCCGTTCTCTAAGCTTCCCCGCCTCTCCCTCGAGCTCCTTCACCCTTCTCTGAGCATCTGCGAGGGCTTGTTCCTTTTCGACCTGGTTGCGAATGTCTTCCGGGAGCGAAACAATGTCGGATTGGGGCTGGTCGGGTTGCTGGGGCTGTTGGGGGTTTGATTGAAGGAGTTCGGGTTGTGGCTCTGCCATTTTGTAGCAGAAGGATGGGAACCCAGAAACGCAGCCTCTGCAGGGAGATGTATCGATGGACAAAAGATCTCGGCAGGCGCGAGGATGGAGGTGGATATTTGATCCCGTGCGTACGTAATCATGCCATCTTCTCTTGCATCATTCAACACGGCATGCATCGTGTATTGAGGCATCCTCTTCTGCGTAGAGAGCTCTCTAGACCTGTTTATAGGTTTCCTGATCCCTTGTATGAAGTCATTTCACTCCTCGGCTATGTATTTACAGGTCTCCCCGTGCGGCCTCTACAAGATGGCAAGCCCACCTAACGTTAGTCCCGCACAGGAGACTACAAGTGGGATGGCCATATGCTTGCTGACTGAAGCCTGTCGTGTATGTATAATTAGCCTACTTCTTCTTAGAATAATGAACTCACAGCGGAGCTCTCCCACGGCCAATGCCATCCACAAGACTTTTTCCCTCTCACCCGATAGATAATCCACATCACATTATCATCCAACACCGGCTCCGTGTCATTCCAAACCGAAAACTCTGAAGACAGCGTATTCACTTCTCCATCTGAAAAGACGCTGAAGAAGAGGCTGTAGTTTCCGGAGGGAAGGCGGTTGGGAGAAGTATAGACTGCAACGCCTTGGTCGGCGGGAACGCGGCTGAAGATGTTTTGGGTGGTGGAATCGGGGTAGGTAAGGGACATGTCGATTGTCTGACTGGAAGAGTAGTCCTGTTCATGTCATGTAGATGAGCACACCAGAAAGACGTGATGGACTGAGAAGACGGTCACGACATACCTCCCACTGGATCAAGTGTCTGCCTCTCGACGCCCAACCCATCTCATAGGCAGGGGAGATGATCCTGAAGGCCTGACAAGCGGTGCTCAAAATCGTGACCGAGATGATTGAGGCGAGAGTGTGCCTCATTGTGAGAGTTTTGGGGAGACGAAGAGAGACGAAGTGTAGAAAGGCGGACAGTGTTGCGATAGATTGAGAGGCGCGGGAAGGAATGTTCTCTTCCCGTTGCAATGACGACGTGTTCACGAGAGGAGAAGCAGTAGATTGCGAATACATGTTGCAGCTGAGAATGCTACCAATTCTTCTTCCTGCCACTATTTACATGCGGTGCGTCGAGGTAACGGCATCATCGTCCATCCTTCTCATCGATACCAATTCAACAACGACGTGTATGTGTTGGATGCTCAGTGAGCTCAATGCGAGCAAGACCTGCTTCTAGTAGTATATAACTCGAAAGTGCATACACATCATAAGAGGAAAGAGAAACACTCGTCACCAGATATCTAGATAGTGAGAAACAATGCAAAAAAGACACGAAAAACCAAAACCTGCCCTAGTCTACTCTATCAGGGCCACAGCGACTTAAGTCGGAGTAGGTGAGGGACATGTGGAGTGTCTGACTGAAAGAGTATCCCTCTTCATGTCATGTAGATGAGTATACCAAAAAGACGTGATGGACAGAGAAGACGGTCACGACATACCTCTCACTGGATCAAGTGTCTCTCGAATGCAGATGCACGTATCCATTGCAAGTCAAGGCCAGCTGGGCAACGCTCAAATGATGCAGACAGTCACCCCTAGTGAGAGGAGAAGCATATGCATGACTACGGGGTCTTCTCAGGCCTAAAGACAGACGGTCATTCTCACCACCACAATTCCAACTCTCCTGATTCCTTTTGCTCCAGCAGTTCCTCTTTCCAGACATTCGTCATCCAGAACTCATAGTGAGCGGCATGGTATGTATCTCTATCAACCATACGTGTGCGGTCAATCTCCAAGATCGGGTCGCCTTGAAACGCGTTGACAAACTCTCCATCAACGAGCACGCCGGTCTCAACGCCTGTGACAGTTTTGAAGCTGTCACGATAGGCAGGCCAAAGACCCATGACTTCAAGATCGCTTTTAGTGACCTCGCCTATAACCTCTTCATAATCTTCGGGCTCGTCACTTCGGAAGCTGAGTTTAATTGCAGATCCAGCACATCCCTCTTCAAGCAACGTGGATTCTCTATCGCTGAATCGTACTCGCGCAGTCGCTCCCCTGAAGTTGGTCATTGGCAAACCGCCCTCCCATGAAGACTTTCCCCCGATTGAAGGAATGAGGTGCATAGCACAATAACACTTGTGCTTTGACTGGCCAGTAGAGGGGTCCACGGTAAGACTGTCAGGAGGGAATGATGTAGTTTGGTGGCTTTCCTTGGTGTCGAGGGAAGAAGGAGTGGTGGAAGTGGTCTCGGGCATCTTGAATGTGTAAAGGGGGAGCGTTCTTGGTTTCAACGTAAGTGTACTGCCCTAGGATACAAATTGGCGGCAAGGAACTCTGGTTTTATAGCTGGGCTGTCGATGTTACGAGATGCGGCTTTGTTCTCGTGTCCTTTGTGATGCTCTGTAGTTCTTGTGAGAACCTGTCACACGTAGTAATTGCCGTCCCAGCTAGACCGTGACAGAACCAGCTGTTGATTCTCGGGCCCTGCTGCTCAATGGTGCCAAATGGCCGGAGAATGTCTACAGTAATGTCTTCTGTATGTGTCCTTGTGATGGAGAACCAGCTGTCGATTCTCGGGCCCTGCTGCTTAATGGAAGAAGAATGAAAGGGGAATGTCTACAATAATGTCTTTTGTATGTCTGTCACAAGTATGGGAGAACGCCCAACCCATCTGATCGGCAGGGGAGATGACCTTGAAGGCCTGAGAAGCGGTGCTCAAGGCTAAGACCAAAAGGAAGGATTGCGATGAGAGGGTGATGCGCTGTAGTTCTTGTGAGAACCAGCTGTTGATTTCCGGGCCCTGCTGCTCAATAGAACCAAAAGGCGGGAGAGTGTCTACAATAATGTCCTTTGTATGTCTGTCACGAGTATGGGAGAACGCCAAACCGTGCTCAAGGCTGAAACCAAAAGGATTGCGATGAGAGCGTGCTTAGTGTGGGAGGTTGCTCTCTTCCCGTTGCAATGACGACGAGTCTACGGGGGGCGAAGGGGTGGATTACGAATTTAGGCTGCAGCTGAGAATGCTACCAATTCTTCCTCCTGCCACTACTTGCGTCGAGGTACCGGTATCATCATCCATCCGCCTCCTCGACTCTTATTCAACGTGTATCTTCTTGATCATAAGAGCGCATAATGATGATCAAGTGTTGCTTTTAGTAGTATATAACTCGAAAGTGCATACACATCATATATAAAAGAGAAAGAACCATCATGAGATTATCTAAAAAGCGAGAAACGATGCAAGAACACAAAAACCAAAAACCTCCCTCCGCCAGCCACCTACTCTCAAGACCTCCAAGTCCCCTCCGCGACCGACTTAACGCCTCGAACCCTTCTTCTTGTTGGTCAAGTTGACCGACGCCTTGCCTCCCTTCTTTCCCGACGCCTGGCCCAAAGAAACGTACGAGTACGGGTCTGGTCCGTCGTTTCGCTTGATATCACCTCCAGCGCGCTATACCACCCATCAGCCTCCCTTCTCCCCTTCCACATCTCCAAAGAAAAAAAAAGAGACTCACCTTGGCCTTGAACTCATCACCCAACGTCTTTCTCATCTTCTTCCTCTCCTTCACCTTCGCCTTGATCCTATCCTCCTCATCAAACACTTCAAACATCTGCTTCTCCTCCTCCCTCGCGCGCTTGGTGTTTCGGTTAAACTTGAGGTTGCCCCTGGTGTCGCGGTGGGTACCGTCGGCGGTGTTGTTGGGGAGGTAGGCTGTAGCGTCTGCGGAAGCGGAGGCGGAAGCGGAGGGTCGTTCGTCGTCGTCGGGGCCGTCGGCGGGGATGATGAGTTTACCGGATTTGTCGGTTTGGAATTTGGAAGCGTCTTCTCCGGGCTTTCGGCGACGAGACTCTTTCGCGGGGTTCGAAGCTACCACCATATCAGCACTTTCCCCTTACCCAACACGAAGAGAAGAAGAAGACTTACTAGTGACACCCCCAGCGATACTCCTCGACAACAAGTCCATAGGCTCATCCTCGTCGTTCCGGATATACAAATCCCCATCCGCCTTCTTCCCCTTCTTCCCCTGCGGCTGCGCCTGCTGCTGCTGGCCCTTCTTGCCCTTCTGGACTTTCTGGGGTCTACCAGCATCCTTCTCCTCGTCATCCTCCGAGTCAATGTCGGAATCAGAGTTGTAAAGGATATCGTCAAACGCATTCCCACTCGTCGCCTTCGGCTTCTCCCCCTCCTCTTCCTCCCCTTCATCCTTCCCAGCCCTCTTCCTCTTGGCTCGGTCCTTTCGCTTCTTGATCCCCATCAACACCTTCTTCTCCTCCACCCTCGTAGCCCCCGCGGCGGCATAGACTTCATCAAACCCGAATCGACGGAGGAGACGTTCAAAGATGTGGATGGTTTTGGATTTGAAGTGGTTCTTGTGGTCGTGCACCCAGCCTAGGAGGGCGGGCACCATCTGCCCTAGATGGGGTCTTAGGGCGTCAACAGGTAGGGAGACGATGGACACTTTCGCAAACCCAAGCGCACTCTTGACGATCTCGCGATTCTTGCTCGCCAGGAAGACGCAGAGGGTGGACAAGAGTTCGGAGGTAGTCTCGGCAGAGATGGAAGAACGGAATTCGAATAAGAGTCGGGAGAGGGCGTTGATGGATGCAGAGATGGTGTGCGGGGTGGTACCGGTGAGGCCGGCGGCTACCATCGTGAGGTATTCTTCGGCATTGGCGTCGACTGTGCCCGCGACTACATTCATCATTATCAGCTTGGCCCCCTTCATCAAGATATGATGCAAGAATGGACATACGTTGAACACCACCCATATCTTCATCATCCCCCACCTGCTGCTGTCCACGTTCCAGAACACCCCCCTCCGCCATCTTGTGCCCCATAAGCACCAACAGCTCGAACCCGGCGTCCCTGGCTTTTTCATTGACTTCTTTGGTGCCGAGGACGGCTTCGGAGAGGATCTCGGGGATGATGTGGAGGGCGTCTTTGGGGAGGGCGGTGACGAGCGCAGAGAGGAGCTGGAGTCTGTCTCTCTGCGCGCCAGGGCCGACGGAAGAGCCGCTTTCGCCGAGTTTGCCGACAAAGGCTTCCAACTTTTCGCGCGTCAAGGAGAGGGAGAGCTTGCCGCCTTCCAAAAGGCGTTTGAGGAGACGATAAGATTTCTTTTGGACGGTGGCGTCGCGGTGCTGGAGCATCGTCGGCTGGGACACCGCTGTGAAGAGCGCGAGCGACTGCGCCAGAGGCAGGATCGGGGTGAAGATGATGAGCAGATCCAGCATCGTATGCGCCACCGGGCTCGCCCCCTCCGCCGGCACACTCGAATCGTCCAGATTGTTGGACAAGTGGGTAGTGACCGTTTGGTACGTCTCCACCACGTCCTCGGGGGTCATGATGCCGACCCAGGTGGAGATGACGTCTCCGACTTGACCCCGCGATTCGCGGGGCATTTTGGAAAAGACGTTGAGGAGGACGGAGATCATGTCTTTCGCGAGGGATTTGAGGAGGGTGAGGTTGGATTGGGCGATGGTTTGGTCGAGGCCGAATTCCTTCCTCAACTCCTCAGGGGCGGTGGTAGACCCAATAAGACGCTCGGTGGAAGTGACGAGGTTGGTCAACCCCTTCAAAAGCGCTGGGAGGAGCGTGGGCTGGGTGTACAGCAACCCCGTGACAAGCCCCAAAAACTGCGTATCCAGCCCCTCCCCCATATCCCTCGGCATCTCGCAGAACCCCGGGAAACAGTCCCAGATCTGCGAGACCACCACTTCCCACACTTTGGCCTCGCCCTCGCGGCGGGCGTCGGAGGCGGCGACTTTGCGGTTGAAGAGGCGTTCGGAGAGGGGGCGGAAGAAGGTGGAGAAGAAGGAGAGGGAGTCGTTTGTGGTGTGGTGGCGGATGAGGGGGAGGAGGTGGGCGCGGCCGGGTTGCGGGGGGACGCCGGATCTGCCTTTAAGTGTTAGCTGATGGTCAGTGGGGTAAGAGAGGGACATACGCGTCGGGCTCGATGTTGAGAGGTAAGACTTTCAAGACGGCTTCGACGCCGATAACGTCCATCGCAACACCAACAACCTCATCCACCTTGTCCTTGTTCTCAAACCCTCGCTCGGTTCGCAGATCTCCGACTTCCTTCAACAAGTCCATCACCAGCTCTTGCGCCGCAGCGGGGCCGGTACCAGAGGGGTCGGCGATAGCCGGGATCGAGCCCGGCACGACACGCAGTCGGAGGCGGGAGATGAGGGCGGTAAGGATAGTGAGGAAATAGGGCAGACGAAGAGCGTTGGTGTTCATAGCTTCCACGAGAGACTCGTAGAATTTAAACAAGAACGGCGTCTTGCTCTTCTTCCTCGCCCCGGGCACATGCGACCCCTGCCTCATATAAGTCAAAGTCGCCAAAATCATCTCGTCCGTTATACAATACCTCAACATCCCCTCCGCGCCCAGGGAAGCCGCAGCGGCGGCGAGGACGGCTGGGGGGGCGTTGGGGGCGAGGAGGATGTCTTTGAAGAAGAGCTGGTGCGCTTTGGGGAGGTAGGTGGGGAGGAGGGCGGGCTCTTGGAGGGAGGTTTTGATAAGGGCGGAGGTTATGGCGGAGAGGTAAGTTGGGAGCTCGCTTGAGGCGGGGGGAGAGGCGAGCAGAGAGTCGAGGATAGTGGGGAGGTTGGAGAGGACGGCGGGGGCGGGGGCGGGGGCGGAGGCGGAGGAGGAGGAAGGGGGAGGGGTGAGGAGGAAGGCGAGGAGGGAGTAAACTTGGGAGGTGAGGTGGGGGAGGGGAGGGAGGGCGAGGAGGGCGGCGCAGAGGGAAGAGAGGTGCTGGATAGAGTCAGCGTTGAACGATAAAAAATACAAAAGATGGACGTACGTCTTCGCCCCAGACGGCGACCCAATTTCTCAAACCCTGTACGAGCTGGATACCCCGCTTGCCATCGCCTTCCTGCGCATCGGCAAACCTGGCCTTCTTGCCCTTGCCTCCACCGCTCTTGACTTCTTCTTCGAGTACACCCATCACCCATTCCCTCGCTCGAGGGAGGTAAGGGTGGTTCCCGGGCGTTTGTCGAGGAGGGATAGGCGTGACAAGCACCTTACGCACACCTTCCTGCGCTTGGTGGCGGACCTTGGGCCGGGGGTCGAGGTTGAGCTCGAGCAGATAGTTCCAAGCCTTCTTCAAGAGCGGCAAAGACATCAAGAGCTGGACGGGCGAGATGAGGATGAGCGAGGTGGTGATCTGGAGCAAAGACCTCAAGGCGGGAGGGTGCTCGAGGGCACCGTCGTAGAGAGGGAGGATACACTCGAGGACGGGGGAGAGGCTGGAGAGTACGACCTGGTTGGGGGTCTCGGGGACGACGATGGCGAGGAGGTAGAGCGTGGCGGGGATGAGGGCGCCCTGGCCCATATTCTCGCTCTCTGCCATGTCCTCGTCTTCTCCGACTTCATCGTTGGACGCCTTCTGGAGACATTGGAGGAGGGAAGCAAAGTAGGCGGTGGGGGTGTGGGGTTGGGGGGTGCCGAGGGTGGCGGTGAGGGCGTGCTCGATGGCCTGGAGGAGGGTGGCGGGCTTTGCCTGGTGTTTCAGCTGGGAGTGGGCGAGGCGGCGGACCTTTTCGAGCTCGGCGGAGAAGTCGGGGGACGCCATCGCGGGTGGGGAGACGGAAGAGCGAACGATTGAAATTTCAAGAGGACGAGGTGGAGGCGCATTAGGGGATGGATTGTAATGTATTGTAACGTATTGTAATGTATTAGTAATGGATTGTAATGGGATTAGGAGGATTAGGAAATGCCACGGGGGGCGGCGAATGGGATATTTCCGGATCGGGCAGGTGCGCGTAAACAACAGCTCTCTTGTACAAGTGCATCCACCCACCCAGCGTATCCCCCACAGCGTGTCCCAGCATCCCACAGCACAGTGAGTCCCCTCCCGCAGAACTCTATCCAGACGCACCCGCCCGCCGAAGGCACACCCCGCCCCCCCGCACCAACACGAAATCACTCCCAATTAGGAAGGTCAGCCAGAAGGGGCAATATCCATACGCGACTGTCCTTTAACCTCTCATCTGTCCAGAGTATCGGTGGATTGGCATGCTCGGGGCGGGCAAGGGCAAGGGGATGATAGCGCTGACTACTGTTGGGATAGACATCAACACCCTTCCCGCATCTTGTCTTTCTCGGGACTCCCTCCCAAACAACCTCAAGCAAGATGAACACCCACTCCCCCTACTCCCCCCAACCATCCTCCATCTCCCAACTATCCCACCTCAACCCCCACGCCCACCCTCACTCCCATGCGCACAGTCATAGCCCGAGGACAGTATCCATCACGATGGAAGATTATTTGACGGATGATGGAGGGGAGGAACATCAGTTGAATATGGATATGGTGCATGATTTTGGGGGGGAGGGGATGGGGGTTGATATGCGCGAGTTTACTAGTAAGTCCGGGCGAGGGGAGTGTTTCGTGTTTCGTGTTTTGTGTTTGCGGAAGCGGAAGCGGGAAGGGTCGTACTGACAAAAGTGGCAGGGCATGATGACCTCGACGAAACAATATCGCACCACGAACTAACAGGCTCCACCCCCCACCCCCCCGCCTCGGCAACGTCAGCTTCAGCGAACGACGGTAGCAACTACGGCCATACTCAAACCCAGGCCCGCGCTACGCCTCGTACCGGGCGGGAAGAGAGGAGTGCTAGTGGGCGTGTTGGAGGGGAGGGCAGGCCGGGGAGCGGGAGTGGGAGTGGGGCGAGTCAGGGGAGTGCGGGGTTGGATAGTATGTTTCAGACGGAGACGGGGTTGGATGAAGATGACGACGACGGTACGTCCTTCTCTCCTCTCTTTTCGTGACAAAGCTGATCCTTGTCCAGACGAAGACTCTTCCAGCACCAAACGCCGCAAAGGCGACAAAGGCTCCGCCTTTGAAACCGAAAAAGACACCCAGCGGCGCAAGATCAAAATCGAATACATCTCGGACAAATCCCGGCGCCACATCACCTTCTCCAAGCGTAAAGCGGGGATCATGAAGAAGGCGTATGAGCTGTCCATTCTGACGGGGACGCAGGTGTTGCTGTTGGTCGTTAGTGAGACGGGGTTGGTTTATACTTTTACGACGAGTAAACTGCAGCCGTTGGTGCAGAAGCAGGAGGGAAAGTCTTTGATCCAGGCAAGTCCCTTCTCTCTCTTTGCGTTCTTTACTGGAAAGGGGGCTGATGAGAATGTAGGCTTGTTTGAATGCGCCAGAAGGGTTCGGACCAGACGGCGAACCAGCCGACGCCGGGCCTGTACCAGCTACAAAAGCGAAAAACGGCGGCCTCGCCATCCGGCCGCACAAACTCACGCCCCAGGCTACAGCAGCTATGGCGGCTTCTGCCCATGCCGCGAGTGGTATCCCCAACGACATGCCGAGTTCATCCCATTCCCACCCCCACCTCCCAACTCAGAACCAAGGCCAGAGTCAGGCTCAGGCTCAGGCGCACGCTCAGGCGCACGCGCACGCGCAACAACAGCTCGACGCCGTCTCAGCCCTCGGCGTCGGCCAAGGTTCCCCCAGCTCCCGGCCCAAGAAACGCATGCCCTCCAACCGCCGTACAGCATCTTCCGTCGGAGGGGGAGGGGAATCGAAACCCGAACTTTCCCTTCCACTCCCTTCAGAGATGCCGCCCGTGCCGCCTATACCCGATATCCACCGTGCCCCACCCCCCTCCGCTTCTCAACAGAGTACGCCCCAACCGAGGATGATCCCGAACCCGAGCGCGGTTAGCGCGGTGCAGCATCAGCAATCGCCGTTGACGACGAGCCAGTTCCACTTACCGGTGGAGTACCATCATCCTCATCCGGGACAGCCGACGGGGGGAGCGGGGGCGGGACATTATTATCAGCCGGCGCCGGAGGGGACTTATTATTATGCTTCTTCGCCTGCGGCTGCGCCGACGCCTTCTTCTGCTTCCGTTTCCGTTTCCGTTTCCGTTTCCGGGCAAGGGCAAGGGCAGGGGCAGGGGGATGGAGCGGGCCAAGATGGGGGTCCAGGAGGAGGAGGAGGAGGGGGGCAAGGGGGGCAAGGAGGAGGAGGAGGAGGAGGGGGGCAAGGACCGCCGGGGTATCTCTTGCAGCAGCATGCGCACATGTTCCATAACCCCTCGCCCCAACAACATCAGCATCAGCAGCAGCATCAACAACAGCAGCAACATCAACAACAGCAGCAGAGGGAGAGGGAGAGGTTGATGGGGATTGGGATTTGAGCGCGGGCGTTTCTTGGGTGAGTTTCTTTGGGGAGAGAGGAAGGGAGGAGAAATGGGGTTGGTGGGTCATGGGCGCCAGTGTTTCTTTGTCTTGTCGGGCGATCTTTTTTTGCGAAATATATCCACCCTTTCTCTTCTACATATACATAATCTATCATCTAATAGCTATTACATCGCCCCCATCCTCACATTAATATATACTCGACTCTTTTTTTTTTGTAATTCTCTTGGCTGTTTTTTTTTTTTTTTTGTTGACAACGCTTTTTCCCGACCCCGGCTTTTCTCCTTCTCTCTGGCGGTGGTCTTGATATATTCCCGGATAGTTGGATACCCTTTGATATATGATATTGATATACACAGTATGATTATTGCGATGAATGCGCTTTTGACTGGGTTGTATGGGGGATATGGAAGAGATGAGATGGTTTGGCGATGATCAAGTTGGGCTGCGCAAGCGAAAGACTTTTGAAAGGTTCCATTTCCATGTTTGTACGTCGCCGGTACCCAGCAGCCTGTCCCATGATCAGCTTCTTACAGAGTCCAAAGAGATGGCAGAGGTAGCAGACAGGACAGAATGGTTTCGAAAGTATGCGGACGGATGATAAAAGTTGGGGCGCGTTGGAGAAGATTTGCAAGACATGTTTGCTCGTCGCCAGCACTCTGCCACCCGTCTCGCAATCAGAACCCTCCAGCAAGACTATCCTCCAATGCCAGTGGTGAATGTATGAAGAAGGTTTTTGCATGCCAGACAGACTACACAACACGACATGATATACAAACACCTAAAAAGTCTTTGCGACAATCCGTCAGCTTCTCATTCCTTCGATCAATCACAAAAAAAAACAAAAAGAGGGGAGAAGAGAGATAAAGAATCAGGGGGTTGAAGATTAAATGTATGCCTCAGTAGGGTAACCGATCCCGTGGGACGGCCCTTCGGAGTGAGCTGAGTTAATTTGGTTCATCCAGCGTAGGAAGGGGAGGGACGAAAAGGGGAAGAGCTTTGGGAAAGGGCTTACCTATTGAGAGCAGAGACTTGAGGTTGGGGGCGAGGGAAAGAAGAGGTGAGAGAGATGAGGGAGAAAGGAGATGCGAAGATTTGGAAATTTTGGGTGGGAAGGAGAGCGGGATCAGATATTTTGTCGGGCGTGGGAGAGTTTGGCTAGGTGCCGAGTATCAGAATTGAGTTTGACTGTCAATTCAGACATTGTTTATAGCCTTTGTTACAGTGAGGGGTAGCCTCAGCAAGCACGCACCGCCACTGGGCGAAATATCAACATTGACATGACTACGAATGGGTACGAATACGCCGCTCTCAAAGAACCAAAGCCGGCTCTTGCTCTGATGCAGTCGATATCAACTGCTGCTCACGCCGAGACATAACTCACTTTGTCCCCATGTTCAATCGAGATAGGATGCAGCGACATCAGTCTGTATTCCTTGGACTCTTTTAGGGCCCTCTGCAAGGGGCCGGCAGGGTCTTGGACTGGGCTCTGGGATTCACGCCTTGTCTCGCTGCACTCGGAAGAATCAGCTTTCCACTTTTGACTACATATAAAGTAACCCCTCACTATGACAGACAAAACAGGCTCAACAGTGCGATGCAGGTCGATGAGCAGCTTTACCTCCTGTGGGTCCTGGACATGGGCAGTCCTACCAGTCAGGCGGCCGAGCCAAGAAGCGAAGCAATGCTGAGGATTCAGCGGGTGAGTTTGTTGGGTTCCCCAGATAGACAAGACTGTTGGTACATAGTTACACACCTACACAGAGCTGAAACGCCGTCTTGCTGATGACTCCTAGCACACCCTGAGGCACACAATTCGTCCCTCATCGCGACGCCGAAAGCCCGACGCAATCCCCATATAATGAACAAGGCCGAACAGCGCTTGATTCTTCTTCAACCCTACTGCAACCCCTCCATCATCATGTCCCGCCCCGCCACCGGATCTTCAGCTGACCTCAAGACCATCCTCATCCCCTGTGCGCCCATCAGCACGCCCCATGTTCCATCCGGTACAACCGAGATCCCTCTCGGCGATAACAGTTTGACGGCATACCTCACTGTCTCATCCGTCCTGGCTTTTGATGGAGCTCTCGACGAGAGCAAACTGGTGAAAGCTATCAGTCTGCTTTCGGGGGCGTGGCCGACCTTGGCTGGTCGTTTCAAAAGCGTTGGCGAAGGTGCCGATACCAAGTTCAGCGTGAGTCGGTGATCCGAGCTGGAGCGAGGGCACGAGCGTGAACCTTTCCAATTGACTCTGGATCATAGATTGAACTCACATCCTCCCCTATCCCCTTCGAGACCCAGACCATAGAGCGCGACCAGGCATTCCCCGACAAGCTCGTCATCCAGCCAACTATAAAGCCCTACATGCCTCCCCTCAATCCGAACGTTCGTTTCCCCAATACCGACAACCATCTCTTCTCCGTCCGCCTCACCACGCTTCTCCCTTCCAACAAGTCGGTCTTGGGTGTCCAGGTATCCCATCTGGGAATGGATGGGACGATGGCTCGACACCTCGTCAAGCTACTCGACGCTCTGTACACCCACGGAGAAGCTGCCCTGCAAAGTACGGATTCCGAGATCGTCATCCCGACGTTCTTCCCCGGTGGCGTGGGTCCTCTTCATGCCTATGATGCTTCGACAGACAACCTGGCGTTCGCTGTCTCTTGGAAGGCCTTTCCAGAAGCTATCCGCTGCTACATTGCTGATTTCAAGACCTCTTCCAGGGTCGCCTTGCAGTTCACCAAGCCCGAGCTGCAGGCTCTCAGAGACCAGTATCAGCTTGACTCTGAACTAAAGCTCTCGACCCAAGATGCCATCTCCGCTTGGTGGGCGACCCTGTTGAACAAGGTCGGTGTGGATGTGAAGTCTATCGTATACTTCCTTGATGTAAGTGATACCCTCGAGAGCTTTAGTATCTGAACTGACGAGGCGATAGTACCGCAAGTGGTGTATCGGTCATCCCTCCTTCCCTCCCAACCTTCCCACCCTAGCCGCTGGCGTATCCCAAGTATCTCCCATCGACATCTCCGCCGCTTCCACCCCAGGACAGGTCGCCGAGACCATCCGAAAGCACATCTCCACGCTCCGGGCGTCCGAGAAGGACGAAGCGCTTCACTGGCTGTCTAACGCGTCTCGCTACATGCACGAGTCGACCGTCAACGACCAAGCTGTAGTATTTGGAGGTGATGAGCAGTTCCAAGCTGTAGTATTTGGAGGTGATGAGCAGTTTATGGCGGATCATAAGTCTGTTATTGTCAACTCCAACATCCGGTGAGTACCTTCACACAAGCATTTCTCGCGCAGATACTGACGTATTGCAGTATCGACTGGTCCTTTTCCTTTGGCTTCAAAAAGCATCAAGTCTCTTACCACTCCGAGTTCACTTGTTCTCACTTCCTTCGCGTCTACCAAGCCAATCTTGACGAAGGGGAGGAGAAGGGAGACAAGATTGAGTTGTACTTCCATGTGCCAAAAGGCCAGGCTGAAAAGGCGAAAGAGATCATTCAAAGTGATAGGGAGCAATGGGCCGTTGTTTCGGGAGCGTCTGTGTAAGGTCGTGGTTGGGTAAATGCATAATCTGGAACCAAGATCAAGTATCGCGAGGGCAATTCAACCACGTATGAAAATGATCTCCATGACAGCGATAGGCTTAGAGTAGATATGAGCGGGCAATTAGCAGATCTATACCATCGCTGCTCTTGTCTGATTTATAGTACTTGGCTTACTTACTCTCGACCCTCTGAAGCGAGAAGCACCATAAATCACAACCTTGTGGCCTCGGAAGAGTGCGACGGGCGCGGTATTTTCGACAGTGGGCGAGAGGGGATAATCGGTGGATTCATCCTCCTGTATTCGATCGTGGCGGAGGAGCCGTGGGGAAAGGTGTCCCGACCGACAACGAGGAAAGCTCGCCCGTGGAGAGGCCATGCATGGCTTGGTAGTCGCGCAACGCCCCTACTACAAGGATCTCGAAGCGTCCGTTAATACACTCGGCATCATAAGGCTGACACCCCGGTGACAGATGGGATATAATTATAGTTTTGAAGTCAGATGTTGGGATGATACGAACGACAATGGGACGACGGTCTTTCAAGACACCGCTATGATATTATCGATGCATGAGATTCAAACCTCCCTGTCATTTTTTTACCACACTACTCAAGCTTGAGGGCACAGTATCATCGTTCTTGACAGTGTATCCCGGGATATGGGGAAGCGCCACTCTGGGTGAAGACCCGGTCTCTGCGCTGCTTGTCCTCTCCCGCCCGCGAACCAGTCGTGTGCGCCGATTCGTATGGCCGTGATGGGATGCATGTTGCTATGCCTGGAACCAAGCATGAAGCACAATAGTGACAGCTGCTGGAACAATCACGATCTGTTGAGACACGTATCTCCGTACCCATACTTCACGACAGCCTTTCCCCTGACCGCCTCGCCGGAAGCCCGACGCTGGCCGCAGCTGCGGCGACGCCATGTGCGCCTTCTTGCGTGCGCTTATAAGTAATGGGAAGCCCAAGCAGCAACCCGCGTCTTCTCAAACCTTTTTCTCGCCATGTCTTTCCTCTCACCAGAGTCTGAGGCTAGTATCAAAGCCAGAATTAAGACCACACTCGTCCCCTGCTCGTCCATCAACACTCCTCATGTCCCATCAGGCACCACCGAAATCCCGGTCAGCGATACCAGCTTGTTGGCATACCTCACAGTCCCTGCCGTGCTGGTGTTCGACGGTCTCATCGACGAGACGAGGCTAGTCAGAGCTATAGAGCTGCTCACTGGTGTATGGCCCACGTTGGCCGGTCGTTATAAGAGCGTTGGTGAAGGTGACAAGACCAAGTTCAGTGTGAGTTGGGCACCCGAGCTAGGCGTCTCTGGAAGGCTAACTTTAGGATAGATCGAGCTGACAAGCTCCCCTATCCCATTCGAGGCCCAGACATTAGAGCGTGACCGTGCTTTTTCCGACAACTAAAGTATGTCGTTCAACCCACTCTTGATCCCTACCTACCCCTCATGGATCCGAACGTCCGCTATCCCAACACCGATAATTATCTCTTCGCCGTCCGCCTCACCACCCTTGTGCCTGCTAAGAAGTCTGTCCTTGGCATACAGGTGTGCCATCTGGGAATGGACGCGATCGTGGCCAGAAAGCTGCTACAGCTCTTCGACGCCTTGTACACCCACGGCGAAACTGCTCTTGACAGTTCCGATCCAGACGTCATTATCCCGACGTTCTTCCCCGTCAGCGGTGTGGAGCCTTTGCCAGCGAGTAAACAGGATTTGACCGACGATGAGGTCTTTGGTTTCCCGAGTAAGCCCTTCCCGAAATCCATCCAGAGCTACGTCGCAGACGCCATGACCTCGTCCAGGGTCGCTTTGCAGTTCACCAAGTCCGAGCTCCAGGCTCTCAGAAATGTTGAAAGGTTGAATAGGTTTCATATTGTATACGTTCTCAAGCCAAACATTGACGTTGTGCTGTATGATTCGGTGTGCGCTGATGGGAAGCATGTAGGGGTGCTGGTCCGCTCTATCTGATTAGATGTGCGAAAGGGCCAACCGGAAAAGGTATGTGACTGCGGCGGCGAGTGTAGACTCGCTCATAGCTCGTTCAATGTGCCGGCGCTCGACGTGTATGGAGTGTACTCGGCCCTGGGTTTAATCGCGCAATACACATATGTGCTGAACCTTGATGTTGTTTCTACTAGCTACAATGACCATCACCTCCAATCGCTTACTTTTTCACTCCCCATTGACGATGCTATCAATCCTTTCCGTCAGATACTTGATGATACCCTCCGGCCCGGCTTTGACGTGCATGCCGGTGGGGATGGCGTATGTCTTGATACAGGGGATGGTGTTTTTGGCGATCCGTTGGATTTCTGTTTGTTCTTCGGGAGTCCACTGTAAGGGGGTTTTAGTCGCAAAGAAGTCTTGACGAGGGAGCTTACCATTGAGGCGCAGAACTAGAGCGAGAAGGGTCAATGGGAAGGATACAATCGGGGAGTGTATTGCGTACAAGGATGTCAGGACGAGGCTCACTGTCACACGGGTCCATGACCTCTAGCGATGCCCTTGTAGTAGTCGAGGTGAGTCGAAATGACTTGAGGACCATGAGAGGTAGCCAAGCCAATG